AAAAAAAAAAAAAAAAAAAAAAAAAAAAAGATACCCGTCAATGTAAACTTGATATTCTGATCGTCTTCCGGAAGACCCAAAAGACGACCTAAATTCGCCCCTGGTAAGGGACAACGACGTTACTGTGCCCAGTATAGGATAACCGCGTCACTGTACCTACTAATATAGGATAACCGTTCCGTCTACAGGATAACTACGCCCCTATGCCTACACACAATGGACAATAGGACTGTCACCTCTACTGAACCAATAATTATGGGAAGATAAGTGACTGTGGAATGATATGCTCCTGGTATCATTTAATTAACATCAAATTTCACAAAAAAATGCAGATCAGACATTATAACTACTCAAGATCTGCCTACTTTGATTATTATTTTATTATTGATTACTCGATTATTATTTGATTACTCTGATTCAGAGGGTGACACTACTATTATCCATTGTGTGTACTAAAGATAATCGCGTGAGTGTACCTAGAAAATAATTATCTCGCCACTGTACCCAGCATGGGTAAACCACGCCACCATACCTTCTCCTACTTAGTGCAATGTCATAGTATTTAGTGTAATATCACTGCACCTAATATGGGATAATACTGCTATAAACCTAGCAAATGAAGATCACATCACGGTACCTTGTGTAGGATAACCCTGAGAAGAGTACTGTAGTAATGCCAAGGTTTCTTAAACAGGAAAATACTTGTCAGAGACTAAATATTGTCAAACCGCCTTTGATCTTAAGCCTACGCTCATTCATTCCTCCGGACACCCTATCTTCTTTACTTAACCCCTAGATTTTTTTTCTGCACAAAAATTATTACAGGTGCGTCGTTATGAGCCCCTGTGATCAATGATTAGAAGCCTTGATGATTCCACGAGGTAGGTGTTAACGGTGTTTTTCCTCGTTTACAGGCAATTACCCAGAGGAGAAGAACCCTATCCCACAAGATCTAATGGTAAAACACCTTGTTCGGCAAGCTGATCGAATAGCTGAGCGGTTAATGTTCAGTGATTTAAGGGAACACATGGCAGGTTTCCCGCGTGAATCGCGTGGGGTCTATGTTATCGTGTGATTTAATGCAAAAATACGAAAAAACTCGAGCAAGTTAGTCTCTCGTATTGGCCATTAAATGAGAGCCCCATGTAGTTTCAACTTAATCTTTATAAGTACACATGTAGGTGTAGCACAAGTGCTTTGTGGACAGTTCATCACAGTTTCCGATTACCCTTTACACTTTATGCAGGAAATTTTACTCACAAGTTTAACTCCCCAGTTTTCTTCTTTCAAACATGGTACTTTTGCCAAAATCATGGGGTACATGTTTGTTTGTAAGCTTTGTTGCCAAAAGTCTCTGTGAGTCACGTCTTGAAAAAAATGGTATCTTATTTCACTGAAAAAATTATGTCGCCAGGGAATTTTTTCGCGCAATGTATTTTTTTATTTTTCCCGTTTGTGATAGATTTTGAAAAAATGGTCGTTTAAGGAAATTGAAACTCAAAGCACTCTGTCACTAATACTCGTTTCGCTGGATAAAAATAATAAAAAGGCTCAGGGGCTGATTTAGGCCGTCTTCTGGGTCTTCCGAAAGACGGTCAGATTTTCAAGTTTACACTGACGGGTATTTATTTTTTCTGTCGGAAGATAGTCAAAAAATGTAGGATGGATCAACAAATATAATTTGAAAGACTGCCAGAAAATATCTCTGGATCCGCCCCTGAGTCTAGCCGATCATAGTCGTTCTATTTAGACCCTATAAATTGTTATATATAAATATAATTTGCTTTAGACTATAAAACATAATTATGAACAAATATAAGATGTAGAACAGTGAGTATGCTTATTTGCCTTACGAATACCTGTCAATATATTTCATCGTAATAGCTATCGAATATGTATACAGACGGCAATACTTAAATAAAGGTATGTGTCTGAAATCTATTTTCTTATTTGCTTTCTTCTGGGTTTTTTGTTGTACAAGTGTGCACGCACAGTATTTGATTAATTTTGTTTGGTTAAACATACATTGCTCCTTGACATTAACAATGAAATTACTAATCTCGTTACACACACTAGAGTGCAACGGACACACTGAAAAGGCTACCACAACAAGATCCCCTGTTCTTTCTGATCACGATGACCGCCTCATTAAGCCGCTGACCTAGATAGATCTATTTAGGTTATTGATTTAGCTGCCCCTGTCCTCGACTAACTATACCATGTGTCAAGTAGGTGGACACCATGAGGGGAGGAATGGCTTGGTTATATTTATAAGGTTAAAAAAATGGCGAACCTATCGTTCAAGCTGGGTTCTTCGGTGGAATCGTCACATATGACAGAGGTTATAGAGCCCACTAGGAACTCATTTCTTTCGAAATACCCCCTCAGGATATACAAGGATCTATTATTACCCTGACATTGGAAATAAGGGAACGCACGCGCCCCTTAAACTTTGCGTGCACCGCGTGAATCTGTATCACATGCCCCTTATTAGATATACAAGCGCCTTTTTAATGGTCGTTTAGAAGCATTTTAGTGGTAAAATTGACAGGGGGGTGTTACGAGAACATCAATTTGGAAAGAGTAACTCGGGTAGGAGGTTAATAGGGATGAACCTCATAGTGCCCTTTTCTAAGGAGGTCCAAAGAGGGGTCCTCCTACCCAAGTCTATAGAATACCCATAAGAATTAGGTTTCGTGCACATGTATATGTACAGTCGGAGAACTGTTTAGACAGTCATTACACACCACTATACGACAACTAAATACAAGAAAGGGAACTGAGAAAAAGGGTCGAAGTCAACAATCGCTATTGGTATGTGATATTTGAACGGGGCTCTCAGCTTCAATAATCTCCTTCACCATTGTTCAAGGTTCTTTTTTAAGAACCACCTTGAGCATCCAACTTCCTCCTATTTCATCTGAATTTCAAGATTTTGAATTTGACAAAGAGCACAGTAATATTTGCCCTGCTTGAGCTACACAGTTATGCATGGTTATACAATGTACATCTACTTTTCCACGTTATATACTAACGTTGTAAACCTGTATATATTATATCATTTCTATAAAAACGCCATCCATCGATATCCAGTGTATCGTACAGTATAGTAAGCAAACGTGTTAGAGTGACCTTCATTAAACGCCGGGAAGACGTGTCACTTAACTCACCTTCGATATCGACAGCATGCCCCACTGGTATTCAAACCGGCGTTCAATAAGCGGGATTAAAAGTTACCAAAAGGTTGAAGTGTTGCTGACGCAAATAAAAGTCCTGCACGTACGACTACAAACATGATGCACGCTGCCGCCTAAAGTATCATACAACCTGGCTACCTGTTGCCGTGTTTGCATTGCGCGTATAGGACTGCCAACACAACACCGGCTCCCTGATCGTGTTTCACGAACCTTAGACTAGGGACAAAGCGAA